ACATACTTGTCCATTGAAATCTTTGCCTTTGGCTGTGCACTGAGCCGATCCATCCCTGGAAACCTCTTTCTCCCGAGCAGAGCAGTGGTTAGTGGCTCTCACAGTGAGAGTCTGGACCTGCGAAGAATTTGATGCACTGTCCTTTTCAATCTCTGATGCTTTCTCTTGCTTAAGTTTGCTGTTTAGCCAGATTCTGAGACAAAGACTTTGCTGCAGACAGTTGATTTTGGGAGGTGATTCTGAGAGAGGAGAGAGTGATTCAGAGAGGAGTGGGAGTTCTCTCTCTGGGTAGAGGGTTCAGTTCTGTTTCAGTACCTTTCAGAGCTGTCTGTGAGGGCCAGAGCCCACTGAGCATTTCTACACTGGCTCCTGTTGCCCAGTGGTTCAAAGCTCCCTGGTCTCTTCCCTGTCTTGCATCTCTGGGTTGCAGGTAGAGTGGGATGGTGTGGGGAAGTGGAAAGGTGTGGCATAAGCCAGAGGGCTTGTCATGGCTTACTTGAATCTGTCCCCTGCAGCTGCAGCTCCAGTTAGAGGGGATGGATGCAATGGACATGCTCACCAGAGGTGAGCAGCTGTCTTTGCAGTCCGAAGACCTCAGATCAGATTCCCAACTCCATCACTTATTAGCTGTGGGATTTTGGTCAAAAAGCTGAACATCACTTTCATCATCAGATATTCTTATCCCCTTGGGGATAATAATAGTATTGTTACTGAATGCAAGTTTATATGCCCAACACAGAGTGAGGCCAACAAAATTGAAACAGGAGTTTGGAGCAGAGAAAGGTTTACTGTAGGGTCATGCAAGGAGAATGGGTGACTAGTGCCCCAGAGAACCCCAGTCTCCTAGAAGGGTTTCAGCAAAGCATTTTAAAGGCAAAATGAGAGAGGGTCGTGGTTGGTTATTGCAACCTTCTTGGTGTTGGAATCCTTGGTTCTTGCAGTTGTCCTCATAGCTCAGGTCCAGATGTTCCTGTGAACTTCTAACCAGATGTTCCCGTGAACTTCTAACAAGACAAATATTTTGCAACTGTTTTGCAACTTTTTATCTATATGAATGGGAAAGGTCTCTGAATGACCTTTATGACCTTAAAGGTCAGAGCCTTGAGAATGGGCTCTCCTGTATATTTCAGGTTATAGACACTATTCTTAACTCCAAGCAAAGGCAATAAGAATATAAAGTTAAAGTAGAAGAAAGTGATCTAATATGGAGTGAGATTTGTTCTTTCCTGTTAAGATGCTTTACCTCATGGAATGTTGCGCTCAACAAAGATTAGCTGTGGTTACCCAACAACAAGTCTCCTAGTCTAAATCGTGTCCAGAGTTCCCTTTTCTCTTTCAAGGTGAGCACAGCCTCTCTGTGCTTCCATATTTTTCTTGGGAACTGTGGAGCCCTGTGTCAGCACAAACTGGCGAAGCACACCTTCTGTCTCATGCCGCATACCTCAGGGTCTTGCAGCTTAACTGCGTCTCCAGAGGCTCCCACGTGGCCTCCCTTCTGCTTTCCCATCCCTCTGCTTCTCCACCTTACTGCCTTGTTCCTTTGTCTGGGTACAGATGGGCCTCTGAGCTCAAGCCCTCCATGTGCCCTCCTGCTGCTGTTGGCTGCACCCCCCTCGGGCTGGTGTCACATTGTAATTTCTTCAAAAATTCCCTGCAACTCTCTGAACTTTCTTGCAAGTGCTGATATTAACCTTTCTCTGCCAGAATCTGGTAACATTCTAATACTGCCAGAACTTAGATTAGTGTTGACACTTTTGTTGACCTTCTAAAGACAGATAAGCTGAAGTGGTTCAGCTAATGTCAGCTTTTCAGGGGCCTAAACTTTCCAGATTGACTCCACCACTCTAGAGTTTACTTACTGGTAGGAAAAAATGTCATATTTCTGGCAAACGGTGAAGTTTTTTCAGATGGTAAGAGTTATGTAAAATTAAGCTACTATTTTATTTTTACTTTGTTTGCCAGGATACTCTGGGTTTAATTGTTTGTTCCAGTGTAACAGTTATACTTCATTGCTGTTTTCTGATATATCCGTATTTTCCCCTGGATATTTAATTCTTGTTTTAATTGTTCTTATAGGTCTTTGTATTGTAAGCTGACTCACATCCTGTTAGAAGCAGTGTGTAAGTAGAACGTGATGCATGAATTGTTAAAATTGTCCCCATTAAAATATACAGTCACACACAAAAAAGATAAAATAAAATATACAGTCACTATTGGTTGTTTGGTCTTTCTCAGTATAGCACCTTTCAAAACCAGGATTTCTAATGTCTGTTACACAGGATGTGGTAGTTTCCATTCTATCAATGTTTAATAATTGATAGTTTATTGAAACATTATCTATCAATGTTTAATAATTCAGAAGACACATGACATTTTTTGCAGATTATCACATCTAATGCACAGGTTCAAGCATTAAGAGGAGATCACTGAGTCTTGTGACTCAGGTGCTTGTTGAATTTCTAGTGTGATTTGATCCGAGTTCTGCTGATGGCTCTATTTCTCCTAGTTTATGCGCCTCTGTGTTGCCTTTTTCTTGAGGCTGGCTTCCTGCAGCAGGGGTAGCGGCTGCCGGTTGCCTCTGATCCGGCCCTGTTCTTTACTCTGCTTGGGCCACACCCTGAGGGAGCCTGTTTCTAAACCAGAGAACAAGGATATTCTAATTGGGCTGGACTAGTCAGACACTGCCAGTGGCTGTGACCCCCGACAAAGCCCCCAGGAGCTGCACGGTAGGGTGGGGGTGGAAGACAGAGAGGGAGCTTTATTGCTTACTCCATCTGACAAGGCCAATGAAAAGAGAACAGGGGAAGGGCATTTGCCTACTGTGAGGAGAGCTACTATAAAACTGTGTGTACATGTATTTATTTGGGGTGAACAATGCCAGACTGTACCTTGACAGATCTTGTAAGTTCTATCAAAACTCTCTCACTCTTGTTAGCCTCCAGAAAAAATTTGTCTTGCGATGCCTTTAGAATGGGGCAGGTGGAAAACTTGCTGCAGTTATATTTCTTGCATATATCACTTCTCTATCAGACACTTGCAGTTTTGTATGATCCATCAACCAATTGGTAGTGGGTTTGAGATGTAAGTTTAGTGCATCAGAGAAGGAGCGGTGGGTTCCATGTGCCCTGGGAACTGACGGGTGCTTGGCTCAATGTGTCCACCAATTGCTTTACAGGAGAAAGATTCTTAGAGGAATTAATATATTTCTGCAAAGAGGGCTCAAAAGGGTTCTGGATACTTTTCCTTTTAATTAATCAAGGAATATTCCACTTCGTTTTAGAAATAACCATTTTCTCTCCTGGTTCCTATATTTTCTTGTATCTGGTTATAATTTATGTCTGAAGTAAGCGATTCATAGAGGGCTATCAGAATTTATGGAAAAGAAGAAATGCTGTGAGTGCAGACACAAGTAAACACACATCCTGACTCATAGGCGACTTACCTTTACATTAAGCAGCTTTTTCATTGCTGGACTATGGGTAAGATAACGGCCTCCTTTAAAGGCCTTTTCCTGGAGAAGCACTGTGATTTTCGAGTTCCCTTGGCCATATGCTGCAGCATACGCATGTGTGCTTTTGGGTTTGAGAGTAAAATGACTTGAGGGTAGAGCTATGGGCATGTTGGCTGGGGGAGGATGGAACAAGCTGTGCCATTTCTTTACCCAGATGTCCTGAGAAACTGTTCACTGCTGGGTGAGGCCAGGGGCTTGGAGGGAAGTACAAATCTTGGTGGCTTTGTCCTCAGCAAGGAAAACCAGGCCAAGGTGGCCCAAGGTTCTCTCTATAACAGGATTGGTGTGTGTATTCTAGGTGTTGCTGTCATCCCTTCAGTAATTACTCTCAACTGCTTAACACCTCTCCCAACCTCCTTCACTTCTACCTCAAAGAGCAGAAATAAGAAACTTGAAAAGACCATTTGTTGAATCCAGTGTGTTTAGGGTGATGACACGAGTGAACAGGACTGTTTCTTGCCTTGAGAAACACTGCTGCAGGCCTGTGTCAATGATAAAGGCAAATCTCCATTCAAATGGAGCCAGTTGGTAGAGCTGTGCGCAGGCAATTATGAGTTTACCAAGGGTGGTGCCAAGGAAGACAAGGGGAGGACTAGAAAGGGCAGGCTGGGGCTGGGGGGCCAGACACATAGAGGCCTCACTCTCAAAGGGAGTGGTCAACCACGCATATGACAAGGTGCCAAGTATTGCGGGTAGCTCTGGATTGATTCAGCTGGAAATTGATCTGAATCTTGGTTGAAGCTCCGGTTCTTGGAAGTGCAGTGAAGTGAAATGAAGTTGCTCAGTTGTGTCTGACTCTCTGTGACCCCATGGACTGTAGCCTACCACGCTCCTCCATCCATGGGGTTTTCCAGGCAAGAGTACTGGAGTGGGTTGCCATTGCCTTCTCCATGGGTTCTTGGAACCCAGCCCCAAATCAGGGCCTTGTTTGTTTGGTTTCTTTAATATTTATTTTATTTATTATTTATTTATTTGGCTGCACTAAGTCTCACTTGTGGCACACAGAATCTTTGGTCTTCATTGCACCATGTGGGGTCTGTAGTTGTGGCATGCAAACTCTTTAATTGTGGCAACTGGGATCAAGTTCCCTGACCAGGGATCAAACCTGGGTCCCCTGCATTGGGAGCACAGAATCTTAGTCACTGGACCACCAGGGAAGTCTCCAGGGCCTCGTTGATCAGGGCCCTGAGGCAGAAGCTTCATCATTAGAATATTGTGAGTACTAGAATTTCTAGAAAGACCTTCGGATAGGGAGAGCTGCCTGGGAGAGTTTTAAACTTAGCACAGTCTGGTCTTTATCAAAAGCCTGGAAGATTACTCAAAGGCTGTGGAGTACACCCACAGCTCCACCTGCCAGGGATTAAACTGGGAATGTGGGAATGCTGGTCCCCAGACCCAGACTGGGCCCAGCATCCTGCAGCATTGCTTTCACTTGACTGTAGTCTCAAGGTCGGGCTCTCACCCTGATGTTGATGAGGGCATTCACAACCCTTGCTTTACAGACACCCTCAGGAGAAATGTGACCTACTTGAAGAACAGGAAACTGGCACTTCTCAGCATGAGACTTATTTTTGTCTTAAGGACACTGTGAATCAGGTAAGCTTCTTGCAGTGTGGGAAGTTTCTTAAAGCTAAATGTGAGTATTCAACCTGTGTCCAGGGCTCTGTAGTATACATTTTCATGTTTACTAATTCCTGGCTCCGTTTTAGTCCTTTATGCTTGTTTCATTACTTCTTTTTCACCTACTTTTGCTTATATTTCCTTGATGCATTTTATGTACACTTTTACGTTGTCATCCAGTGATGTACCAGGACCTTTGTGGTTGTTAAATATTTGGGCATTTTATGAATAGCTTGAAATCAGCCATAGTGGGAATATTTACACCATGGATATAGGCAGACACTACAAATAGGCCTTTCTTTGCCTCCAGGGAACTAGTTTACCAGCATACTACTGTTTATATCTTATCTAAAAATGGTGGAATCTTAATAAATGTGTGTTTTAGGACCTAGAGATGGTCATACTAAGTGGAGTGTCAGATGAAGACAAATATCATATGATATTGCTTATATGTGGCATCTAAAAAAATGTAACAAATGAGCTTATTTACAGAACAGAAACAGATTCGCAGATATAGAAAACAAACTTATGGAAAGGAGGGGAGGGATAAATTAGGGATTGGGGATTAGCAATATATAGCAAAATATATAGCAAGTATATTTTCTATACTACTGTAAATAAAAAAGATAAACAATAGGGATCTACTGTATAGCACTGGGAACTAAATTCAATATCTTGTAATAAACTATAATGGAAAAGAATCTGAAAAAGAATATGTATATATAACTGAATCTCTTTGCCATACACCAGAAACTAATATAACCTTGTAATCAACTATATTTCAATTAAAACATTTAACGTGTTTTTAAAAAGTACTATGAAATTATCTATCTTATTTAAATATTGCATATGTTGGGACTTCCGTGGTGGTTCAGTGGTTAAGACTTTATCTGTGTATCCATAACTGGGGGCATGGGTTTGATCCCTGGTGATGGAACTAAGATTCCTCATGCTACACAGCATGACCAAAAACTAAATAAATTTTAAAAAATATTGTTTATAATTTTACATCTTAAGAACAGTGACACTGTTTTGGGTCAAAAAATGTTTCTAGGGTAAATAAATTTATGAGGTTGTTTTTTATTGATGGCGAGGGGAAAATGGGATTCATCCAAAACGTGCCTTCTAGTCAATTTGCCTGTGGTGCAGCTGTTCTATAAAGGAGGATATTTATGTACGTGGATGTGGTGACAGCTGTTTACGTTTCTGTTTGTCACATTTTGAGTTGTACTCTGGAAGAGCTAAGGTTTTGGTAAATCCAGCAGCATTAGAAGCAAGTTGATATCCCATTCAATGTGCAATGGTTGCTAAGGGACCATTCAATGCAAATTAGAAGCAATAATAGCTCTGGTTTAAAAGGGCAAAGAATTAGGGCTGGGAAGGGAAAATGACTCCCTACAGAGGACAAGGGTTTTGCAGTGACAAATGTTGGCCGCTTGCTCAGTCCAGGGACAGAGCCAAGGAGTGGGGACAGAGCAGGGGTGGGGACAGCTGCATCACTCCTGGCAGGTCCCAGGCTCCTCTGGTCTCGGCTTGCCTCGGAATAAGTGCAAATAGCTGCGGAAAGCACGTTTGTTATGCAGAGTTGGCAGCTCAGCAATTGCAACCTCCGAAATGGCACGAAAGATAAAGAAGATCTCTGACAATAAGGTGGCAATTCCTGGGCCACAAACAATGATACCACCGGAAAACACCCCGAAAGCTGAAGCTCTCCCAAAGGCATTGCAGCAGGACCGTTCATTGATCACGGGTAGAGCTAATGATGTCTGCGCGCTGACTGCCGGGTACAGGACTATGCTGGTAAACACTTCCTTGTATATCCCATTCTCACAACAGACAAAGAAACTGGCACATAGGTGGCTGAAGTCACTTGCCCAAGGTGCTCAGTGACCAAGAGAAGGAGCCAGGATTTGAGTGTCTGCTTTCAACTGCTCAGACCAAACAGAAAGAAAGATTTGCGTGAATAGTGATGGTTTGAAGGGCGGTGATCAGGGCACAGGGAGCAGGTAAGTGAAGAGGGAGGGTGAAAGAAAGGTAAAAGAGAGAGACCAGTGGCCGACTGATGGATGGAGACAGGACTGGGCCCAGTTCCCAGCTCAGGAGACCTAGAGCCTTGAATCAGAAGAAGATGGAACTCACATAGAAAACCTAGACAGATCTGCTCTCTACTGGCCAAATAGCACTATTTATCAGACTGTTGCTGAGGCTATATACTGTTAAAGGCAGCCATGGATGTAGGAATTGAGGGGTTACTTGGGTTTAGAGCACTTTGCAGAGGGGAGCATGCATGCTGAGCTTCGCGCTTGGAGTAATGACCTGTAGTCCAAGAGCTGGAGTCTCATCACATAGAGGACTTTCTTGAGCAGGGGATTGGGACAAGGATTCAAAGATCCTAAGATAGGAGCAAACCTATAGAAACACTGATCTTACCCTTAAGGGAGCAAATGGGAACCTTTATGTCATGGGAACAGAGTGACTGCAAAAAATTGGTTTACATGAACTCTATCTTTTGGTCTTGAGGACCATTCTTTCTTACCAAAGAGCACCAGACACTGTACTCTTTTTCAGCTGAAAAGAATCTTTGTGGCTTGCTGGTCAAGTAGTTACAGATTAAACCACCACACAAACATGCTGGGGCTAGACTTTGGTTGAGGAGCTCTTGGCTGCTCATTGGACAGAACCCTGACTTTCGATCTATGTCTTTGGAGTTTCCAGATCCAACAGCACTGAAGGCAAGGTTTGGCTGCCAAGAAGGGAGCTACAGGGTTGAAGCATCCTCTCCTAGCCTCCTCCCACAGGACCAAGTCCTCACCAACAGTTTTCTCTGTCTTTAAAAAATAATTTTTTTCTTTATATCTACAGATATATTTCATTGAAGTATAATTGACTTAACAATGTTTCAAGTGCACAACAAGGTGATTCAGTTATAAATATACACATAAATTAAATATACATATAAACATACACATATACTATTTTTCAGATTATTTTCCTTTATAGGTTATTATATGATATTGATACTGTAGTTCCCTCTAATATACAGTAAATTTTTGTTGCTTTTTGCATATCTTTTTTTAAAATTAGAAATCTAGCAAGGTGTCATTTATATGCCACAAAAATATCTGTTTTAAGTGTACAATTCAATGGTATTTAGTACACTTAAAGAGTTGTATATATCCTGTGATCTAATTTTAGAACATATCCATCATCCCCCCAGAAAGAAGCCTCCTGCCCATTTGTGTTCACACCTGATTCTTACCTCCAGGCCCAGGCAACCACTGATCTGCTTTCTGTCTGAACAGTTTTATATGCGGATGAAACAGGGGATGCTTTGCAAACACAGTATCTGCCCTGCACTTGGGATGAGGCAAAACACAGACCAGTTGGCTATTTTTCATAGTCTCAGAAAAATAAAAAAAATTCAGTAACTTTAAGGTATAATAATTTAGTGTGTTAAAAGATGCAATAACCTACTGCTTTTTGTCTTTGAAGATATTCTGTGAAAGATCAGCTGTGAATTGCTGGCTGATTTGAAGGTTCAAACTTTCATGTTGTTGGATGATCATAGAGCTGCCCTGGAGACTGTAGGGTGCGTGCCTAGATTTGTTTGTTACCATTTTTTCTCTGAAATTCATATCATTCATTTAACTTGTATTCTGGGGGGTTTCTCAGAGTATGAACTCCTATTACAAGGCAGATTTCATGAGGAAATTGGCCCAGTGTTTGAACCCCTTAGAATCGGGAAGCTAGAACATCACAGCCACATTTGAATCTCGCCGTGTGTCCTGTAGGATCGGATGGCTATGTGTGGACCCTCCTTCTGTTTCTCTGATAGACCCTTTCTTTCCTCCTGCATGTTTCTCCTCTCTCTCCTGTGCTGTTGAGTTTTCCCTCACCGTTTGTATCAGGATGCACACCTGCCACAGTTCTTTCCATTTACAAAACCCCTACCCTTGACCTGGCTTCCTCTTCAGGTACTGCCCATCATCTCTGATTTCCTTTTCAGAGAATCATTGAATGGAATTGTCTAAGATAGCTCTCCCTGCCTCTTCTTCCATTCCCTCTTAAACTCATTCTGGGCAGGGCTTTGCATCTGACGTTGGGCTTCCCTGATAGCTCAGTTGGTAAAGAATCCACCTACAGTGCAGGAGACTCCAGTTCAATTCCTGGGTCGGGAAGATCTGCTGGAGAAGGGATAGGCTGCCCACTCCAGTATTCTGGCCTGGAGAATTCCATGGATCATATAGTCCACGGGGTCACAAAGAGTCAGACACAACTGACCGATCCTTCTTTGCATGTGACACTCCACCAAACTGGCCCATGGTGTCGTTGCCAGTGACCCTATGTGGCTGATGCCATAATTGACCCTCAGCCTCTCAAGGCAGCTTCTCAGTTGCATTGGCACCTTGATCCCCACCTTCCTGAAGTTCTCTCTTCTAGACCCTGGAACATCTCTGTCACTTGGCTTTTCATGTGCCTCATTGGTCCTTCCTGATCAGTCTGCTGTGTTGGCTGCTGTTCCTCACATCTCCAGCATATCTGTGTTGGAGAGTCCCACAGCTTGCTTCTCCTTTTCTCTCCTTGGCCTGGAACCCTCTTGAGGTGATCTCATGCAGGATTGTGGGTACTTTAAATACTATCGCTCTTGACTTCCAAACTTGTATCTCTAACCCTCCCATCCTGAAACTACAGGAGTCCAAGAGAATTGTTCGTGGAGATGCTAGAAATGTGAAAGGGCCCAGTGGACCATGTTCTTGGACCTCTTCTTTTCTTTGCACTCCCTCACTTGGTGGTGTTATACAGTCTTATAGATTTATTTTAATGAAATCCAGCTTATCCAGCTTTTCTATCATGGATCATGCATTTAGGGTTGCATGTAAAAACTCATCACTCATGTCAATGTATGACAAAAACCACTACAGTATTGTAAAGTAATTAGCCTCCAACCAATAAAAATAAATGAAAAAATAAAAATAAATAAAAACTCATCACTAAGCCCAAAGTCACTGTAGATTTTCTCATGTTTTCTTCTAGAAGTTTTGTGGTTTTGCCGTTTACATTTTGGCCTGTAATCCATTTTGAGTTAATTTTTGGGAAATGTGTAAGGAAGTCTGTATCTAAGTTTATTTTTTATATTTTGACATTCAGTTGTTCCAGCAGTTGTTTTCATTGAAAAGACTATCCTTTCTCCACTTAACTGACATTGCTGCTTTGTCAAAGATCAGTTGACTATACTTGTGTGGGCCTACTTCTGAACTCTTTATTCTCTTCCATGTTTTGTAACTTTAAATATCCCTGCTGAGGCTCTTCAATGTATATGTCTAATCTGGACTTCCCCTCTGGAGTCCGGACATATATATTCACTGCCTTCCTGTACATCCACTTGAATGCTTAACAGGCATCTCAGACTGGCCACGTCCACACGTAATATGATCTCCTTCCCCACCATCCAGTCTGTTCCTCCTCCCATCTCCATAGCAACTCCATCTTTCCTGTTGCTTCCATCAAAAATATGGACTTCTCCATCAAATAGGTCAAGAAATTCTATTGCTTCTACTTCAAAATGCATCATGAATCCATCCATTTCTCATCATCTGCACTACTACCATGCTGGTGCAAGCCACCATCATGCCTTGCCTGGGTCACTGCAACAGCCTCCTAACTGGCCTTCCTGCTTCTGACCTTGCTTCCCAATAGTCTGTTTATCCACAGGGATCCTGGAAAAGTCAGATCATGTCACTCTTTTCCCCAGGCCCCTCCAGGGTCTTTTGTTTGAATTCATAGGAAGTTCCAAAGACCTCGTGGTAGCCCCTATGGTCCTTTATCACTAGTACTACCCGCTCACATCTCCCACCTCACCCCACTGCTCTCCCTTCTTCACCGTGCTCCTGCCATCCTGGCCTCCTCCCTCTTCTTCAAAAATCCTACAGAGGCCCCTGCCTCGGGGCCTTGGCGTCAGTCCATCTACTGGGCACGTTCTTTCCCAAGAGATTCACAGGGCCTACTTCCTCACCTTGAGATCTGTTCAAGACTTTGCTCAGATGTCACCTTCCTTTTAAAAAAAATTTTACTTTACTGAAGTATGGTTGATTTACAATGTTGAGTTAGTATCTGGTGTATAGCAAAGTGGTCCATATATATATATGTATGGCCATGTGGGTGTGAGGGATCTCCTGGAGGCCAGAGCTGGGGTGGAGTTGGAAGAGTCTGAATGAAGCAAGTCTGCTAAGGGCACAGGTGAAGGAATACTTAGGTCACCCTGCAGGCCTCTGAGGAAGCCTGTCTCAGATCTCAAGACACCAGGGCTTGAATGACCCCTCAGAGGGCATCAGCAGCTAGCAGGGTTAACCTTGAGCCCTCGGACATGGGAGGCCACTTGTCCAGCTCCGTCCAGCCCGTTCTTCTACACCCCACCTCTGCCCAGTGGAGACCCAGGACACGGAGGGAGGGGAACGGGTGCTCCAAGCAGATGCCTCCCCATCCCTGGAGTCTCGAGCGAGCCTGGCCAGACAGGAGGGGGCCATGCTGGAAGCTGAGAAGTGGACTAAGCTAAGGACAAGGCCTGAGACCTACCAGAATATCACTGAGGGAGGGAAAAGAGCCCTTCCACCCAGCTTGGCTGACAGCAGTGGCTACAGGAGATAACAGCGTGTTATGCGAGCTCAGCAAAGCACCTAAGGGAAAAGAAACAATGTTCGAAGACTGAACTTGCAGATCTAAATCCATGTACAACAGCATAGAGTCACCTTTGCTTCATGAGATAACTTTACTTAAGATAAAGGGAGATAAAAGAGCAGAAAACTTAATTCCCTAAAAATATTTCAGATGTTGCTCCAGCTTTCTTCAGGACAAAATTTAAATCACTAGGCGAATTTGGTGACTCAGATGGTTGAGAATCCTCCTGCAATGCAGGAGACCCGGGTTTGATCCCTGGGTTTGGAAGATCCCCTGGAGAAAGGCAGGGCAACCCACTCCAGTATTCTTGCCTGTAGAATCCCCATAGACAGAGGAGCCTGGCGGGCTACAGTCCGTGGGGTCGCAAAGAGTCAGACACGATTGAGCCACTCAGCACACAGACACGTAAATTTATGCTCAGAAACATGTTGAGAAGCTGTAGACCTTGGTCTCGTCACTGTATTCTTTGGTTTCCACGGGCACATTCTGCCCATTAAGCAGAGACCCTGCTCCTGACCTGAGCTCCCATCTCATTAAAGGAAGCTGCTCAGCCTCAGATCATAGAATCATAGTTTTAGAGCTAAAAGGCCTGAATTGGTTTATGATGCCCAACATGCAGCAAGCTCAGAGAGGTGGATGGTTTGGTTGGGATCACAGAGCAGGTTGGGGATAGTGGTAAGCAAAAAAATGGCTCTGAAGATGTCCACATCCTCATCCCCAGAACCTGAGACGATGCTCCCTTTCAGGGCAAGCAGGGCTTTTCAGGTATGATTAAGTTAAGGATGTTGAGATGCAGAGAGAATCCTGGAGTACTCAGGTATCATCACAGGGGTCCGTGTAACAGGAGGCAAGAGGGCCAGAGTCAAAGAGATGTGATCATGCAAGCAGAGGTCAGAGTGTTGCAGCCATGAGCCAAGGAATGCAGGTGACTTCTGAAAACTGAAAAAGGCGAGGAAACAAATTCTCCCCATCACCTTCAGAGGAATTGCAGCTCTGCCAACACCGTGATTTTAGCCCCACAAGACTCATATCAAACTTCTGACTTCCAGAATTGAAAGATAGTAAATCTGTGCTGTTTTGAGTCATTCAGTTGGGCGGTCTTTTGTTAAAGCAACATAGGAAATGAATCCAGTAGTAAAGCCCCATTAAAGCACCCACCTCCTCAGCCCTGTTCCCCTGGCCTTCCTGCCACAGTTCTGAGCTGGTGATGAAGCAGGGAGATTCCTTGAGCAGGTGGAAAGCCCCACAGGGTCCTGGCTTGAGCCCTGTGCTGTGACAGAGGCCTGGCAGGTGACGGAGGGTCTACTGGCCGGGGAAGCCTCTTTCCAAATGGTGTGGCCAGTTCAGGTGTTCGGACAAGGACAGCTACCAGAGTTTTGAGGCCTAGAGTCCAGGGTGGTCAATGCTTGAGAGCTGCGGAGGCCGCTGAGGGTTTTGTGCCTATGTAGACTAGGTGTCCAGAGGCCCCTGGAGTGGGGGAGTGGGACTTCAGCACCGGACAAGGCTCCTGGGTTGGAGCCAGAGCAGGAACAAATGGGGTGTCTGGTGGGAGGGCCAGATCTGCAAGGATGTGTGAGTGCTGGTGACGGTCACTGGTGTTAAAGGCAGCGAATGAGACTTGGGGGATGAAGTGGTCAGTGCAGGCCACTCAGCCTGGGGCTAGGCAGGGAGGCTGGATGACTGATCACTTCCCTTTCCAGCTGGGACTGCTTTAAGAACTGAGGTGGGGCTGGTAGGGGTGGAGGGAAGGGATGTCAGTGAAGGCAGCTTCTGGAGGTTGACCAAGACAGGGGCAGTGGAATGAGACAGAGCCATTATTCTGCCTACCACAACCCCCAACTTGCTGTGTGATCCTGACCAAAGCATCTAGCTCTCTGAGCCTGCCTCGTCTTGTGTATCATAAAGAATGGCTTG